TGAGGGAGGGATTGTTGGGGCAAACAAGTCCCACATCGGTTGTGGGAAGAAAATAAATCCACCATATAACCCAAGTGGGCTACTCCACCCATTACCAATTGGTTTTGGGATGGAACCTCACTTGGGCCTGGTGGAGTGGGCTTGAGCCTTGGATAATTACTCTCAATAATTTCCTAACAAATAATTTGAGGGTTTCTTTCGAGAAAAAATATGAATTTTAAGAGTGCATCAATGGCATCATTTAATTCCCGAAACCTACTTCAATTCAACTAGTTAGTTCACTTATTAAATGAAATACAATTCCTAGATAAATAAAAAGACAGGTTTATGTTTATATAACAAAGTACACGTGCCTATCAACCATTTGGAAATTAATAAACAAACTTAATTAATTTTTAATTACTGACATTTTTTTAAACTGCAACATATTGAATCTAATTTATCCGAATTAACTTTTTCTCGAGTCGAAAACTTATAATTAATTACAAGCTACAAAAAGAGTCCAATATTCATTTATCAATTATCACTCTATCAATAATTAATTATTTTACCTAAAATAATATTAGATTTAAAATTATTTTACCTTAGTCCATCAAATTTTCAAAATTATAAAAATATAGTAGATAGAACAAATAATTTTATTCTACAAAATTTTCGGGTCACAAAAATCGTCATTTTCTCAGGAGAGTGTGAAACGCAAGTCATGTCAGGAAAAATCATGCAGATGATCCTACATCACTACCTTCATTCAAGGACCTGGCCAGAATTTCAATCTTGCGGGGGCGAAAATATGGGGGGTGGAGGGGGCGGAGTCCTGGAAATTTTTTTTTTAACTAAGATAATTGAAAACGACGATTTTAAGTACTAAAATAAGCAAGTTAGATTGACTGCCCAAAAAGACAATCAGTTTGTCGATACAAAAACAATATGTCTAACTATGTGTCTAACGCTATACAAATTGAAAATATGAACGTTAGATGGACATAAAAAAGATAAAAAGTAAACTGTACGTCTATCTATATAACAGATGGTAGAGA